CTTTCCAGATTCATTCCGGTCGGCCAGTACAAGTGCTCGGCAACGAGTACGAAGGCTGTCCACGAGGCGCGACTCTCCTTCTTCTCTGGCCACTCGGCCATCTCGGTCTATGCCGCGTTTTATGCGATCGTAAGTGGATAGCGTAAAAGAGGGTAGTGTAGCTTAACATTCCGCCTGACGCCAAACGTACCGTAGTCCGCCTAATCGCATAACCTGCCGTAGCGCAACCTAAAAAGCGCCGATCGCATTGTCGTATCGGAGCGTAACGTAGTGCAACGGAGCTAATGTTGCGTATCGTACTCAAGGACAGCAAATACAGTACCGTAGCCTAGCGTAGCGTAGTGCCTACCGTAGCCTAGCCCCGGGTGTATCTGGCAGGTCGTAACATATCGTAGCTATTAGCGCGTAGAGCTTGTGGGAGTGCAGCGCCCTGTTTTAAGGTGAATCGTAGCCGAGCGTACCGTATTGCAACGTACCGCCACGCCCAAAATACACCCGGATTTGCAGCTCTACCTCCAAGCCAAACTCGGCCGCTACGAGCCGACGAAGATCTTTGTCAGCCTGGCGCAGACGATGCTAATGTGCATTTCGCTCGGTATAGCATTACTTACGTTTTCTGAAACAGTGTTAATTCAGCAATCTGCTACACTCGAATCACGGACAATTGGCATCACTGGAGTGACGTGTTGGTCGGCATTTTTGTCGGCATGGGAGTGGCTATTTGGACGGTAGGTGGAGAGAGAGAGAGAGAGAGAGAGAAATAAGGAGAGAGGACAGTGAGAGAGAGAGAGAGCAAGCCAGAGCGAGGTAAGTTAATTAGACAAAGCTTCATTTTCAGGCCGTCTTCTGGGCTCGCCTCTTCTCGGACAACACCACCGTCCCGCCGGCTCTTCCGGTCTATAAAGCCCAGGAAAGACCGATGAGACCAAATGATTCCGGAAACACTTCTGGCATCGACTCGATGCACGACGGTAGGGCATGGATTTGAGATCTTTAAAACCGATTTTCCAGTCTAGACAGCCCCCGACAACCCGGTCAATTGCGCCTTTAATTCAATCGAGAAATCGACACGATGGATGTACAAGAGCTTTATAAATATACGGGACCATCGCTTCAGTCATTTTTGGTTATCACAGAATAAAGCATTCCGGCCTATATTTATTGTTTTCTCATGGACAATTTATTTATATTGACGTTCAAGGTCTTGATATTTTGGGAGAGAGCGAGAGAAAGAAAGAGAGAGAGAGAGAAGAGAGAGAGAGAGAAAGAGAGAAAGAGAGAGAGAAAGGGAGAGAGAAAAGAGGGGTGAGAAAGAAGGGGGGGGAGAGAGAGAGTGAGAGAGGGTGAGAAAAAAAGAGAGGGAGAAAGAAACAGAGAGAGAGAAAGAGAGAGAGAGTAGAGAAAAGGGAGGGGGGGGAGAAAGAGAGAGAGAGAGAGAGAGAGAGAGAGAGAGAGAGAGAGAGAATGGTCCCTCCAAAACAATGGTCCAATGGGAAGCAAATTACGAATTCCAGGACAACATGTTGCTCTCCGGGAGCATTTTGAGGACGGCGAAGCATTCTGGTTGCCCAACACGAAAAATCAGTTTTCAACAATTCATTTATAGATATTTTCTATATTTAGAAAAGACTTGAACGGCTTCTGGAGGCGGTGATTATGACAAGGTGAGCGGGAATATTCTAGGGGATTACATTGTAATCGGAAAAAAGAAATTCACTTCAGAAAAATGCAGGTTCCTTTGTCTCTCTCTCTCTCTCCCCCTCTCTCTCTCCCTCTCTCGCTGCCCATTTTCCGGAAATCCACGCCACGACAATTATACCCCCGGGTCCACCAGTCGTCATGGTGCCGTGATGCAAGGCCTGGAAGCAAAATATTTGGGGTTTTTCTGGCCCAACCTCCCATTCCAACCCACTACAATCGGCTACTATAGTGGGGTGGGATCCCCAGTCTTTTTGTGGTTCTTTTATTCCCTCCAAACACTGCACCTCCTCTCCTCTAACCCTTCAAATATTTGTTCAACAACCACCAGACGGAAACGGCCCTTCACAAAACCCCCGCGCCAGGTCCCCGAGGGGACAAATGGCCCAGAGTGTTTTTTTTTACTTTTTGAGGGATGGATATTTTTGTATTCTATTGCATCGGATGTGTATATTTCAATCGTATCTATGGCTGTACCAAATGTATTAACTAATTATAGTTTTTTCGCCGGAAAATATCTGCTAGAGAGCTAGTTTTATATGCCATTTTAATTATTTTTACAAAGTAATCTTTCCATGTATCTTTTTTGAAATCTATTTTAACCTATTAATTAGAATTTTTGGCAGAAGTGATGAATTTTTTTGAACTCACAAAAATTTCTGAGCGAAAACTATTAACAATTCAGTCAGAAACCACGCCTGCCCTACAGAATTCAGTCCTCAAACATGCGATGACTCATCCATTTTACGGCCAACGGTCAGCCCCCAGCCGCGGCCCACAATTTTGGCAGGCTTTGGACTGACAGTAAATATTGCGAATATTGAACTTGCACTCTAAGACTTGCGATCATTTTCTCAGCGTTTTCCTCAATGATCTCTGCAAGCGTCCTCTATTAACTGGCTGTCAAATTGGTCCCTAAAGATCCCCGTTTTTAGTTTTTTAACGTATTTCTACACATTTTTTCCTAAACGATCTCTGCTAGCTTTTCCTTAAAAACGCCCAATTTTCAACAGCATTTGCTTTCGTGAGGCGGCCTTGCTTCTCATAAAAATATAAGATTTGATTTTCAATTTCCAAAAGCCCCTTGGATACCGGCAAAAAACTATATTTTCCCACCACATAAAATGGTTTCGAACTGTTAATAACTCGCTAATTACTAAACTCTACTCTTATTGTGATTTGATGCCTGGCAGTCCCGACCCGGAACCGGTTCTCTAGCGCCCGCGCGGGGAAATTGCGCCCAAATTGGCCAGTTCCGACAAGGTTATCTCATTTTTCTCGGGGTGCACTAATGCTCCGGTTTTTAAGCTTTTTTCAATGATTTTTTTTATGAATTTCTGTACAAAACACTTTTAGTTACTGAAGCACAGGAATGAGACATGTGTTTTCTGTCTGCCCTTTTCGCTTGTGCCGCTTTTTGGAACCTGTTCCCGATGTAACAGCAGACTGGCTACCGATTATACTACTCCCTTTTTGGGGGAGCTGCACCCCCGCCTGTCTGTGCATTGATCACATTTGTTGACTCACCTGCATAATTCGGGATGTGAAACGAATATTTTTTGGCGGTGCACGTCATGCTTTTCGTACTGATGGTGAATCATAGTAGCCGAAGCCTAGGCCTAAATATCAGCTTCATAAACAAAGTCTACGACCAGCCGAAGCTAAGCCGAAACCTAAGCTAAGCCTAAGCTAAGCCAAACCAAGCCTAAGCTAAGTTTAAGCTAAGCCTAAGCTAAGCCTAAGCCAAGCCTAAGCTAAGCCTAAGCTTAGCCCAAGCCAAGCCTAAGCTGCCCGCTAGCCCTAGCTAAGCCTAAGCTAAGCCTAAGCTAAGCCTAAGCTAAGCCTAAGCTAAGTCTAAACTAAGCCTAAGCTAAGCCTAAGCTAAGCCTAAGCCAAGCCTAAGCTAAGTTTAAGCCTAAGTTACGCATTACATGAAATTTTGTATCCAATGATTTTTGTAACGGCATGGAGCAAATCTTAATCAAACTGGTGTATTTCAATGTTTCACATACTTGTCGATGCCGAGTCGACGCTAAAAGTAAATTATCCCGTTTTCTAGCCCCTTGAAAAAGGCTCTAGATTTTCAAAGGATATGGAAAATTTGACACAAATAAAGGTACCATTGGCGTCAATCTCTGGAAAAAATCTATAAGAACTCTCGCTTTCGACCGGCGGTCTCTCTTTCCGCCCTGGCAAAGATCTACCCCCTCCCTCCTCCTTCTTCCGCCCTATCGAATGTGTGTGTGTGGGATACCCGGTGCACCGATCGTTGCGGGACCACCATTCAAGCGTTTATTCAGCATTGATATCCCTATCCGTCAAACTTTCATGACTCAGCCAGCTTTTTTCTCGATATTCATGCGATTCCCTGCCGGTTTTAGTGTATTTTTTTTTTGATAAGGATAAGGATGATCCATGAAAATTTTTCTTATGAAATTTTAGGTTTTTCAGGGTATCATAGCATTAATAGGATTATATTTTTTTGGATAATCCCGATAAATTACTAGATAGTAATTGTTCTACTTAAGCTGTCTTTATCCTTAAATCGACTTTTTTAAGACATACTGAAGCATTAATACGTATAAATCATGTTTAACTACGCAATTTTCATAATTTTCTGATGCTATAATGAACTATCTTTTGCGTTATCCAAATGATTAATTAGCGGCAGTTTAGCCTATGCTGACCTCTAAAAATCACTCAAATAATGGCTTAAAATCCATTAACATTTCCTCCTTCAATTTATCATTTCATCTTTTTCTTAAATTGCTAAAATTTACCCTCCCCCCCTCCTGTTAAGTCTCGACGGCTACGCGGCGACCCAAGTGACGCGTCGAAATTTATTGTAATCCGTACAAAATTTTTTCCCTTGTTTTGCATCTCGCGTTTCGTCTAGAACTGGTCACCCAAAACGGCAGATTTTTGTATTTAAAATGTAAGATTCCCATTTTTATAATCCCTCTATAATTTTCAGGATGGACCTCAGGTCAAGCTGGCGGATATGGCTGCTGAATTCGACAATAATGGGCGTGATTTGTACGTTTTTTTCAACTCTACTGTTTAGATATCTTCGCATCAATGCATCGATTTTTTTAATATTATAGACGTCCAGAAATAGGCCGAAAACGACAACAAAATCTTTAGGCCTTATCGTCCTTATCGTCCCCTGGGCCCTTGAAAATGATCGACTACCCGCCCAACGTGGCTTTTTCTGTAACGATGAATCCATCCGCCACCCAATTCTCCCGAATACCGTGTCCGTAGTTGTATGCGGAATCGTGTCGCTTATCATCGTGTTTACAATGGTATTTTTAAGGCCAATTTCAACGTAATACTAAGGATTTTAGGTGCTACTCGCCGAAGTCGTCGTCCTATACCGCAAAGAGAGGAATGAGCGGCAGCTGCGATTCTTTTTCTATACGCTTATTCAGCAGAATGGTAGGGGAAATTTTGTTAATGGAGGGAAGAACAAAATACCGACAATTCGATTAACTCTTGAAATGCCGACATTGATAATCGAAAATGCCGACACCCAAAATACCGACAGCCAACCGTTCACGAGCCAGCGCGTAGGATCGAGTTGTCTTTCCGTGCAGAAAGAGAGGCCGTGTTGTCGCTGTAGCTTGTCGGAATTTTAGTTGTCGGCGTTTACCATCGAAAGTTCGGCCTGTCGTTATTTTGGCAATCGTCATTTTGAGGATCAGTATCATTGCCGGTATTTCGGGGGTCTGGATTGCACTTGTCGGCATTTTATTTCGATTGAAAGTTTGACTGCCGCAATTAGGCTGACTTCAAGCAATATCTTAAAATTTAGGCTACTGGCTACTCGGGCTCCAAACTACACTAATCCTGACTCAAATCGCCAAATATTCCGTCGGCCGGCTACGACCCCACTTTTTGGCCGTTTGCCAGATTCAGAATTTAAGCGAGCTGTGCGTGGATCCATTAAGGTATGTTATATAGCAATATGGCAATTACGACTTTTCTAGATTTGTGAAATCGACCGAGTATATTTGCACTGGTCCACCTGGAGAGGTGCGAGAAGCGCGAGTGTCGTTTTTCTCCGGCCACTCGGTTACGATCACATATTGCTGCATATATTCGGTGGTAGGTTAGAGGGAGCGAGAGAGAGGGAGAGGGAGAGAGAGAGAGAGAGAGAGAGAGAGAGAGAGAGAGAGAGAGAAAGAGAGAGAGAGAAAGAGAGAGATAGAGAGAGAGAGCGACAAAGACTAAAACATGTTTATATTTTTAGCTCTACCTCCAAGCCAGAATCGGCTCCAGAACTGGCCATTGGCGAGGCGCACTCTGCGTTTTGCAGTCAATGCTGGTCGGCGTGGCTTTGTGTAAGTCATATTAAACATCTTGATGTTTAAATACACAACTTAATTTTAACCATCAAATGAACCATTTTTTAGTCATTTGCGCCAGTCGTGTAACGGATTATTGGCACCACCCGACGGATGTGTTAACCGGCGCCGCTTTTGGGGTGTTTTGCGCAACCTGGACGGTGAGTTAGACGCTTAAAAGGTTTATTCGATTAAGCAATCGAAATATAATCTTGCAAATATACGTTAAAAGCTATAACAAACAGTTTTAGGCACTCGTCTGGGCCGGATTGTTCAGCCGCAACAAATACGTTAAAGTTAGATGCGAATTAACGGAGAAATCTTCGGACAATATGGCTTAAAAAATTTCTTTTTTGTACTCTTCCGCTTTTTACCATTTTCTGTACATTTTGAACCATTTTCAGTTCTATATACTCAGCATTTTTAGACCAAAAACCCTTTCCCGCTACGAGTATCCCGCTGGTCATTAGGATTACGATTGTCTATGCGATGTTCCGGTGCTATAGTACAAGGCAACGATAAAGCTGTGATGGTAAAGACCGTGTTGTATACCCAGGAAATACAATGGAAAATACAGAAAAAAAACGTACATACCGATTCAACCTAAAGATATCAGCCATGACAAAACTGGCGCACATGCCTTACTTAAAATTTTCGAGGAAAGAAGCCTGAGCCTAAGCCTAAACCCACGCCTACGCCTAAACCCATGCCTGAGCCTGATCCTGAGCCTGAGCCTACGACTAAGTCCATGCATGACCCTAAGCCTGAGCCTGACCATGAGCATGAGCCTATTCCTAAGCCAAAACCTAAGCCAAAACCTAAGCCTGAGCCTAAGCCTTGGCCTAAGCCTGGGCCTAAGCCTAAAGCTAAGCCTAAGCTAAGCCTAAGCTTGTTTTTAGTTGTTGCCAATGCCATCTTCCCGGCCCTCCCTCCTGGGTGTAGATGTCGTAAAAAGGTTGACCTGTGGTTCCAACGCCCCGACCGCCCCATTTTATGGGTAGCCGATGTGCCTTGAGGGCAAATATCCACCGGACAGGGCCACATCGCGGTCTCCTCTCATCTTTTCACCCCACGGCCACTCTCATCACATTTCAGATCCATGCCCGCCCAGAGAGACGCAAATAGACATAAACGCATCACACTGATCGCGGGAGCCACGCTTACCACCTATTTTTGCATACCTTTGGTGTTCACACCTCATTTGTGAGCAATATCCGGCAAGAAATACATCTTGTTCTCTACACTAAGCTAATTTTCCTACTTACTTTTTCTTTCTTCTTACTTTACGTAGTTTTTTAAGTTGTGCATAAGCATTGTTAGATGATAAGTTCGCGGTTTTTAGGTTCCGAAAACGGTGAAAAAGAAGTTGTCCTCAGGAAACCAAAGTGTTCTAGATTTTTTTAGATTTATGGATTTAGGGCGCAGCTTCGTGGACTGTTCCTTGCTGTTTTTCAAGATAAAAACGTGGCCGATTTTTATTAAAAATTTTGTTTTAGGCAAAAACTCGTTTTCTGATATCCAAAATTATATATGTCTCGTCTTTTTCCATTTTTTTTGATTCACTATAGCTCAAAAACAATTGTTTGAAATAATTGACACAGTCTTTTGTATCTTAAAATTCTGAACAAATCCTTACCCTTCAAATTTGCTGAACGGCTACGTTCCTGCAAAAAAAGGCGCTAAAGGAGCCGAGTTTGCTCGTTTTTGGCCTTGCCTAACAAAATTTAAACTCTGAAAACCTGTTACCGTTATCGTCAGCCGCTTTTAAGAAATAGGATTTTTTTGAGAATTTCCCGCGCCATGGAAAACGCTATTTTGCATCGCAAGTTCCAAGAGCGCATAACAATGGCGTCTTGTAAGCAAAACTTTAGCGTATAACATGACCCCAAAGCCGTGCCATAAAGCTTTTACAATTTTTTAATTTCCCAAGCTGTACAACACAAAAATATATCCTCAGGCAATCAATTTTCCTCGAAACCTAATAATGCCAAATTTTCCGATCCATTTCCGTCCCCGGAGGTCATTTACAATGGGCGAACATCTGATTTACATCCGGTTCCCAGATGAGAACAAGTCTTGGTGCAGTATTATACCCTCGGATCGTGCCCCCAGGCTCCGGGATATGTTTCGCATTGGTGTGTGCGTCTCGGGCCCTGTAGCCGTAAAAGACGCACGGGCCATAAAAATGCACCCACAAGCAGATGTCGCACAACCCTCTTTCTCGAGCCCTTGTAGGCCGTCAACCATCCACATACACAAACAATTCCCGTTCTCCCCCTAGCCCTCCTACAAGCTATTCATTTTGTTTATTTTTAATTTTTAATTCTCCTGAAACAAAAATATTTTAACAACAGTCTTGAGATTTGATAGGATCGGTCCAAACTGTACCATTTTACCTTCATTTTGTTTGAATTCCTGATTTTTATTTAATGAGTTTTTCGGGATTCCGGATATGGAATGCCAGTTTGGGATTCTTTTCGAAACCCCTTAAAACCTGAAAAAAAAATCATGAAAAACCGGGACCAAGGGTTTAATTTGATGAAATACGGAATTTTGGATAATTCATAAAAACCAGGGTTGAAAAACCGCTTCGCGGCTTTTCAACCCTGGCCCCGTCTAGGCCCTGTGAAAATCCTCAATTTGCATGCTTCTTCCCGAATCCTACTATATATAAAAAATAGTGTTTGTGTGTGTGTGTAGACACTTTGCATAAAAGGCTCGAAAAACCGGGTTATTGAGATATCAGGACGGCAAAAGTGTTTTAGGGGCCAATCTAAACGTGTTTTTTACAGCTTCGATTTTGCTTAAAAATGTGAGATTTAAGAGCAATGTCTTCTTTAAAACAAGGTTGAAAATTGCTTCGCGGTTTTTCAACCCTGGCCCCGTCTAGGATCAGTGAAAGTCCTAAATTTGCATGCTTCTTCCCAAATTCTAGCAAGAAAATGAAAAAAAAGACTCCTCCGTCCCTTTATATAGGCTACCCCCCTTCCGGCGTATGCTAATTTCTTCCTAACAAAGAGGGAAGCCAAGATTTTTACAAAAACCTAATTTTAATAGCGCAAATAATAAACTTTCAAAAGTTTTTAATGTGTGCAGTCGATTCCAGCCTCTTCTTTATCCTATGACGTTTCTTCCTACCGAAAAATGCTTCACTGAGGCTGTAGGTGCGGAACATCCAAACGGAAGTGCATGCAAATATACACACACACACAAACACTATTTTTTTATATACCAGGTTGGAAAAGCCGCTTCAGTGACTTTCAACCCTGGCCCTGTCTCGACCCCATACTATTCTGCCCTTGCATAATTGTCCTCCATTCAGAAGACAAAAAAATGAAAACAACCCTTCTGCCTCTTTATATAGGCGACGGCCCACTTCCGGTCTATGCTAATTCTTCCTAACAAAGAGGTTTTTACAAAACCCTAAATTTAATAGCGACAATGGCTAATTTTTAAAATTCTGATATGTGTGCAGCCATCCCTAGACCATTTCGCACCTAATGACGTATCATACGTAGCCTAATACCCGTCCCTTCCTGAGATATCCTCCGGACAGACAGACGGAAGTGGATGCAAAGTGGCACACACACACAAACACACACACACACAGACACTATTTTTTTATATATAGTAGGATAGTAGGATTCGAGAAGCACGGAGCCGAAATTTTGTTCCTTTGGAAGCTAAACCGTAGACTTTGGCCGATCGGCGCGGGTCGTTCGGGCCGGGCAAATCGGCCGGGGGCATCCAAAACAAAACATAACATTCGGATCGATGTGTGACTCAACGTAGTCTAGCCCTATAGCGTTTAAGCAATTTGATCATTTGTGTTTTAGCAAGGCCAAAGCGTGCTCAAAACGATGTATCTTGGTAGACTCCATACGATCCCCCTTTAATACTCCCCCCTCAATGTTTCCTTATTTTTAGCCCTCTAAGTCGACTGACTCCCTTTGCCGGATCGCTCATTTTCGCACCCACACGGATGGGTCGAGTGAGAAATTGACAATTGACAAATGGCCAGCACCTGCCCGGAACATTCAGCCACTCATCCTCCGCTTGGCTCAATCCAACCACTCAGCCCACGATACGCAACTTCCGATAATAATTTATAGGAGCGCAAATACTTGACCGGTTATTTTTGATCGCTCTCTCTCTCGTTTTCACGCTCTCGTTCCTCTCTTTCTGTCTCTCCCTCTATCTCTCTCGCTCTCGCTCTCTCCCTCTCTCGCGCTCTCTCTCTAGCTGAATCTCTCTCTCTCTACCTTACCCTCTCTCACACTCTCTTTCTCGCCCTCTCCCTCGAGCTTTCTCTCTCTATACAGCCGCGTCTATGTCTCACTCGTGTTCTGTAGCCCGTTTCTGATTTCCGGCCAAAATGACGACATTAAAAATGACGACAGCCAAAATGACGACGGCTAAAATGACGACAGCCAGAATGCCGACAGCCAAAATGACGACAGCCAGAATGCCGACAGCCATAATGACGATAGCCAAAATGACGACATGCAAAATCAGCCATAATAGCTGGGAAAAATCAAATTTTTGCTTTGAATTGAATGTCGGCATTTTGGCTATCGCCATTTTTAATGTCGTCATTTTGGCAGTTTCTCCCCGTTTCTCTGTTTCTCATGCTCACTCCCTCTCTCTCTCTCTCTCTCTCTCTCTTTTCGCTACATTGATGTCTCTCGCGTATTCTCTATCCCATCTCTCACTCTGGCTCTATGAAAACGATACCTTAAGCCGAAAGCAGAAATCCAAATCTGAAGGAAAGCATGCAAAAAATTCGAAGTTGTTTTGAACCTCCGTGACCGTCTTCTGTCTGTCTCCCTGTCCCTTCCTTGCTCTCCGTCTGTCTGTGTGGCACATGTGTGTGGCCGTATATCACCATCGGAACCCCGATGTCCCTCTTGCTCTTCCTCTGATCCCCTTCCCATTCCATTCCATTCCCATCCTCCACCATATTTCACGCCATCCCCCTCCACCTCCTCCACCCCATCCTATCCATACACCCACCACCACCCCTACCGATGGATACAAATCGCTTTTGTTCGACTTCGATGGGTGAACGGCGTTTTTGAAATTCGGAACGATTTAAAGGGACGGGCAAGGCGAGGCTGGCGATTTTTTTACTATGGATTTCTCTGGATGTGGGCGCACCCGCGATACGCGACGCGCGCCTGTTTTTTTGGGTTGTGATGAAGGAGGCTCAATCCGTCATTGTTGTTTTTTGGAGATCTTTATACTCTTAAAGGGTCGGGAATGGCAAGAGCCTCGATTTTTCTGGCTATGAATTTGCTTGATTCCGCGACACGCAATCCGCCCGATAGCTCTTCGATTTGCTCAGGATGACTTCGTAACTAGCGTTTTTTTCTTTCCCGAGACACGCGACGCGTTTAGCAAAGCGATCGTGACGCACACGGTTTTGTCGAAAAAGCATCGGATGAGAGCGAACGTGCGTTGCGTGTCGCGGGAACGATAACTCATATACGTAACCTCTATAGATTTTATCGGAACCGCGGACCGCGACGCGTTTCTTTCCTCGTGGCTTAAGCTAAATGCAGCATAATAAACCGTACGTTCCGGTCAAAACTGTTGTCCGCGTCGCGTGTAGCGCTCAGAGTGGAATGCACGCTGCCGACCGTGCGTTGCGGTTAAATTACCGGACACAAGATAAACTGCAAAATGCAAATTTTTTTTGGGGTGTAGCTCTTCAAAAATTGGCTTATTTGTACTTGTTGGCAGAGTTTCATTGCCGTCAAAATATTGTCATATTTGTTTTTCTATTTTTGTGCTTCTAAAAATAATTCCTTTTCAAGTTTCTTGACCCATTTGTATCCCGATCCCTCGACCCTCGTTTTATTGGTCTCCTCAAAGCCCCTTCCCCCGTATCGTCCACTTGACACTCCTTCGACACGTGCAGTTTGTGCTAATTTAGAGGTGGTATTGAAGAGAGTAGACGGTGCGGCCAATCGTTATTTGCATAGTATCGGAATTACAGAAAAAATAGACCACCCCGTCCAGCGCACCCGGGCTATTTTGGAGAGCGACGTGGGATAAGTTGAAAGTTCGGATTCTTGGAAGTGAGGCGACCTTTTGTGATTTATTCCTAACTTTATGCTTTCACTTTTACCTATATTTCATTATTAAAAATTCAATATACAATTAAATTGTATAATTTGCAAAATTTTGGAAATCGACTGCTTTCTTTCGAGGTAATTTTTTAAGAATTTTGATAATTTTTAGAGTCATTTTAGCCCTTAAAATTTTTTTAATTCGTGCCAGAAATATAACCAGGAATATTTTTTCGCAATTTCGGAGTTCTTAATCTATTTATCTAATTTTTCTGTGCTTTGACGAGGTTTTTACTAATCTTAATAAGTTTATTTTGGCGTATCAAAATTTTTATCCGAGTCCCGCTCCCCTTGGTGGCGTTGGAAAGCTGGGGCTCGAGCTCCACCGAGGCGAGGAGGCCATTTGGTGGAAGACAAATGGGTGAGGTTAGGCTCACCTGGGTCCATCTCTCACACTCACACAACCCCCAGCCTCTCAAGCTCCTCGTCGCTTTCCTGGCAATTTGTTCCAATTTAGCCCTTAAATTTAGGTAAGATAATCTGATTTTATACCTACTAAAATTTATTTAAGTTTTTAACACGTAAATTAAAGCTTTTAGATTTTTCTCATGAATTGCCAGTTTCTCTTTTTCTTTCTCTTCTTTTTCTCTCTGCCGTAGTTTGTAACGTATCCCATTTTAGAGTGATTTTTACCCTTAAAACATTTTTATGACCATTAGCGCTGAAACTAGAATCAGTCGGTTTTCTTGTAATTTTCTGCATTTTTCGTATATTTCTCTGGGTTTCTTTTTTCCATAGTTTGTATTCTTCTATTTTTCAGTACACCCAGATGCGAATTGGGTATGCATTGTGACTATCCGGGATGAAGATGATCCGTGGTCTCGCCATATTTTTCCTGCTCCTCTTCTTACTCGCCGACTCGTCGGAGGCCGTCCAATGGCTGTAAGTCTCAATCGACTTTGATTTTGGAGAAAGTACAGACTTCTCAGTACCTTTAAAGGACCCAGAAAGTGCGAGAATCGGCCCCTTTGATTCATTAGGTATCGAGAGCACGTAACCTTGGTAAAAAGCGTGTCATGGCCAGTTTTGGCTTTTTAAATTTCTGCATAGTTTGGTGTAACTCGTAGTTGTCGAGACCCAGGCCATAAAAAGAGTCGATTTTGGCGCTTACTGGTCCCTTTAAAATCCTAGAAAAATCGGTGTATAACGCAAAAAATGAAATTTCTTTCAGCTCGGTCGGCCTCTCCTCCTCCAACATTGGCAACCGCAGCGCCGGGTCGTTTTGTAAAGAATTAAAGGTAGGTGAATCTTCCGTTGTTTTTTATTAAGATTAAAGGTTTCTATGCGCTCTTTTAATTTAGGGCCTCAACAAGCGGCAGATGCGGTTTTGCCGCAAGAACGTCGGGTTGATGGACTCGGTGCGGAGGGGGGCGCAGAGCTCGTACACCGAATGCCAATATCAGTTCCACAAAAGGAGGTTGATTTTTCGGCAATTTGCGTATGCTCAATTTCTTACAAATACCGCCTTTTAATACCATGAAAATTTTAGGTGGAACTGTACTCTAATCGATCCGTTGACCCATAAAGTCATCGGTGATGTTCTTCTGGCTGAGGGGACTCGCGAGAGTGCATTTGTACATGCGATATCGGCGGCTGGTGTCTCTTACAGGTTAATATATACCTTAAGACTATAAGGCTTTTCTTAATGCATAAATATCGTCAAAAGTCCGTTTCATCTAGATGTTTGAGATCATGCTATCCATTCCAGAGTCACCCGTGACTGCGCCAAGGGCCTCAACGAAGGCTGTGGCTGCGATCAGACACGACATGAAATTCCGGAACTATCGACGGAAAGTGTCCACACAATTGTCCCCAGGGTATTCTTAATAGCTATAATAAAGCCTAACTGTTTTTGTTAGGACAGCGCCAAGCAGGAGTTTGTCAGCGAGGGATGCTCGGACAACGTGAAGTACGGCAACCTCATCTCCAGAGAGTTTGTCGATGCCCGCCGATAAGGCGCACGGGAAAGCGGTAGGTGTTGGTTGTCGCAAAGTCGTGCTTAAAGGGACTGGAAAGGGTTTGGGTTACCGCTCTCTCTCCCTCTCTATCTCTCTCTCTATATCTCTCTATCTCTATCTCGCTCTCTCCATCTCTTCAACCTGTGCCTGTCGAAAGCTAGTCAACGCCATACGTTGATTCTCCCGTTTCCCAATCCCTTTAAACCGGTCATGCTAATCCTTTACGTCACTTTATCCCAATTTCAGAAATCCAACTCATCCGCGCAAGCCGAGCAGACCGTCGTCAATCTGCATAACAACCGTGCTGGCCGGGAGGTGAGCTCAGCTTTCATATAATTCATGTAATCTCTGGAATCTGGTTTTGTATCCTGTCATCATAAAATTGCCATTCCCTGAATGTCAATTTTGAAATCAGGGCGAGGCCCACCTGTTTTTCGGTTCGTTGAACCCCGAAAATCGTCAGCTTGCCATCAGAAAAAATTGGGCTTTTTGCTAGCCGCTGGGTTTTTGAGGAGATAAGACTGTTTTCGAGTACCTGAAAGCATTGTCGGAAAGTCAGAAAGCGAGCAAACCCTTTGTTTTTGGAAGCTGGAGAATACCTTAAGCTAGATTGGAGCTTAAAATGGAGGAATTTCAAGTGTAATGACGATTTTCAGGCACTCGGAGCCTCACTCCGTCGGGAATGCAAATGTCACGGCATCAGCGGCTCTTGCGAGATCAAGACTTGCTGGGATGCGCTGCCATCTTTCCGGTAAGCTTAGAATAGCTTGAGGCTGTAATGGAACGAATTACCGCGTCTTCTCGTCCCTAGAATTCTCGTTTACCATACCCTACAACTTACGTACGCACGTACTCCATTAACATTGCGTATCTGACGTAGTAAACGGCAAAACAAGATTTTCATTCCCTATTCTCATATCGATTTTAATCTAAACAAGCTAGTAACGGTGTAAATCGACCCCCTACCGGCCACTAGGTGTCGACAGATACGCATAGGGAGTTTAAAGCTCGCCAATCGAAACCAAAGCTCGAAACCTAAGTCGATCGAAGTGGATAAGGCTAAGCCCAAGCCAAAACCTAAGCTCATGCAAAGTCTAAGCTGAAGCGTAACCTACCAGTGACCCCAAGCCAAAGCTAAGTCAAGTCAAAAGACGAGCGTGCGTCTTGGGAAAGCCTGAGCTCAAGCCCTACCACAGGTCAACGGGTCTAAGCCTCACGCTACGATTTTAATGATTTAAGTGAGCAACATGCCAACTCCCCACACCCTCTAAAAGCGCCCGGATCGATGAACCAAGGAACTTTAAGAAGCAACCATATGCCCCAGCTGCTAATTTCCCACCGTCTCGGCACGCGCTTACACCAAAAAACCTCCACTTCCCCTTCCAAGCCTCCAATGGGGCGATTCTGGATTCTAGTTATCACCCCCCGGCTGCCAATTTTAGGGGTTTATTTGCAAAATTTTCCGGGGGCAATTGACGTGGTGCCCGTGTGCTCCCGAATCCCGCTTATCGCTAGGGGGGAATTCCGGACGGCTGGCTGAAAACGACTGGTCAAGCGGATCTTGGGCCTGGATCGATAGCGAAAATGAGGAAAGGGGGCAGATCGAGGCTAGAAGAGGCCTGGAGAAGAGATTTTGAGTAAAATTGTGCAAAATGATTAAAAGAGGCTAAGTTTCCGCCTAGCCCGAAGATAGGCCTGAGTCAAGCCTAAGCTAAGCCTAAGCAGTGCACTTGCGGATATATTAGAAAAGAATTTTATCATTTTCTTTCAGGGAAATCGGCGCCACCATCAAGGACAAATTCGATGGAGCGACGGCCGTTCAGGTACAGCTTCAAAAATGTTATTTTAAGCCGCATAGAAATCTATTAAGAAAGCTTAGCCCGTTTTTCGAAATCTTGCAAGTAGGTTATAATTCATTTGAAAATACGCTCAATTTGGTTCACAAGCCTTTTAAAATATGAACTCGCCATTTTTTTGGTGTATCTTCATCAAACTTCATCAATCCTTCAGTCCGTTTTTTTATGCATCATTCGTCATTTATTTTAATTGATCCTGTTTCAATTTCAGATCGTAATGGAAGGGGATAAGCCCCGAATACAAGGCAAAACAAACCAGTACCGCCGTCATACCAACGCCGATTTGGTGAGTCTTCCAAGTTTTTGAAAACCGCCACAGAATTGAACAATTTTGTCAACAACCCAAAAGCTCGACAGCCTTAAGCCAAAATGCCGACAAAACAATATCGATATTCAAAATGCCGACAGCTAATATTCCAGGAATTGCAAGTTTTTTAGTGTAGCGTCAGCTTACCTCGTCGGCATTTTGGCTTTCGAGAACATGGCTATCGGCACTTGATCTTGTCGGTGTTTTGGACGACGGAATTTCGGCTGTCGGCATCTTGGTTGTCGGGATTTGGGTTATCGAGAGCCTAAGCGTCGGCTTTTTGGCGTGCCGGCATATTTCCATTGCTCGGGATTGCGGTTGTCGGCATTTTACTCTTCGTATTCCGGCTAAAAAAAATCTGGATTTGGGTTTTAATTTCTTTGTTTTTCCTTTCCCTAAATGGAACTCTGGACCCGCTATTCCTTATTAGCACATTAAATGGCTCCATAGCCGCGAAATTACGAGCCCGATAAGTCGAAAACTTGGATTTATGAACTTTTAATGGCAGGCGCCGAACTTGGATACCTATGGCCACCCGAACAGGCACACTTTGACCCCTCCCTGACGCGCGCATCCACTTTTTTCGGTGGTCCGCGGCGCGCTTGGAAGAGCCTCAATAAAATCGCGCATAAAACTGGAGTTGCGTCGAATTTTATGGGGATAGTGTCGTGGATCGGGTTGGGTTCATTTTGGTTCACTTGCACTTGGATTGTGCAAAAGTATGGGTGGGTAAGGGTTCGGAAATCGCTTGCAGATTTAGTGGAAAAACTACATAGAGTTACAGTTTTTGGGCTAGTTTACCGATTTGCTATCATAATGTCGAAAATCATGATTTCGAAACTTCAGGATGCGGAAATTTCATAATATTGGATTTCTCTGCATAAGATTTGGGTGGTTTCTCGGGAAACTTGCTTAGGTTAATTTCGACATTCAGAAATTTTGATACTAGGAAAGTCGACGCTATGAAATTTCGCCACTATAAATTTCGACATTATCCTTTTCGACATTTCGAAAGTAGCCCTAAATAACCAGAAGATACACGCTATAGAATTAATTATGCCTGATCCCGTGACGCGGTCGCTAAACTGTCACGTCACCACGTTCAAAAAGTAAATTTAAACAAGCTAAAAATAAGACTTAAATATAGCTTTTAATATTTCCAAAAACCTGTCATGTGGTGCAATGCGTAGCTGTATAACTCTAGTGGAAAGGGTCGGTCGTTTTTCCCGATTTTCAATTCCTCAGCGTGCCTTTAAAAGTCTCAAAAATCGAGTGGCTTTTCGCTACTGTAAAGCGATTCTGATTACGAAATACAAAAGTTGATCCCCAAAAATACCAACTACCTTTAGCGCTCATATTCCCCTCCCACCCACCCAACCAAAACCCAAGAATTCCCCTCGGCCATTGCCCTGCGGGGTCAGCATTTTCTCGGTAGTCCTGCGATAAGCCGCTAGTGGCGGTGCATTGACCACCTCACCAGGAAAAAGTGGTGTTCACGTGAAGATTTGGTGAATTTGTCAAGCGGAACTTAAAACTTTCACTTAAAAATCAAAAAAAAAGTTAAGCGTGCATTTTTAGGTGTTCACTTCTGACTCGCCGGATTATTGTTTACCAAATCCGAGTCTCGGGATTCTGGGAACGAAGGGCCGAGAATGTAACGCGACCAGTTACGGAACTGATGGCTGCGAATTGGTAAGTAATCCATCTCACCTCTCTCTCTCTCTCTCTCTCTCTCTCTCTCTCTCTCTCTCTATCACCTGCTCTACCTAAAATTCCTAAATTTTTCTTTTAGCTCTGCTGCGGCCGAGGCTACGAGCGCGAAGTAAAAGTTGTCCAAGAAAAGTGCAACTGCAAGTTCGTCTACTGCTGCAAGGTCGTCTGCGAGCAGTGCACGCGGTCCATCGAAAGACACTATTGCCTTTAAACTACGTTATTTAAGTTATCTTGGTCTCTTTGTCCAATTAAAGGGCCGTAGAAGGAAGGAGAGAATCTAAGCCTAAGCCTAAGCTAAGCAGAAGCTACGCCTAAGTTAAGCCTAAGCTAAGCCTAACCCAAGCCTAAGCTAAGCCTAAGCACACTTCTGCGGCCCTTTAAAAATTACCTCAAATTTTCGACTTTTTTAAGCCTTTTCTTGTGTATTTTTTCATCTAGTGCCTTTCATATTTGCCACCCGCTTGCCTCTAGTGTTCAAAAATTCTCGTTTTTTCAACGCTCCTCTCAAAAAAGGTCTCATCTCCCCCGCCACCCGGAATCCTGGAAAATACACAGTGCAATTTATCCAATTTTCATGTGTGTTTTTGGAATATTTAAAATATATAATTGGTTTATTACCACATTAATTTCACATCGATAAATAATTAGAAACAGTGAAAAATGGAGTACGACACGCGACTATGGACAACTACAGTACCCTGACGGTCCGGCGAGATCAAATAACAGAAAAGTTCAGAAGATAGGAAGGACAGAACATTATTAAAGCAGAAAAATGACTGGCTTTGGTTGGGAAAATATCATAAAAATTAATCGATAGTGCCGGATTTGGCATACTGTAGAAAAATTAAAAATCGAAAAATTGGCTAACTGCCAAAAATCCATATAACATGATAATACAAGAAAATCGATTAAATTTAAGCTTTTTAAGGTATAAAAACATGGTGCATTTGATGCTGTGGTAAACTGAAGTTAAAGGCGCCAGCAAGGCAAAAATTATTTTTTCGATATTTAGATGTGGCGTTTTAGGTCCGTGCCTTCTCAGTCCCTTTAAAAACCCCAAAAATTGAGTTTAAAAAGTGGAAAATCTGAAAAAACTGCAAAATCTAAAAATTCGAAACAGTCTTGCTCTTCCTCAAATCGTTCCACTGCACGCTTTTTCGCTTGTTGGGCAGCGTCTTCGAGCGGCTTTTCACCATCTCGGCCGAGGAGGCTTTTCGCATTTGTTTGTTGGCCGGGAACGTGGAGGCGGGATGCTAATTTGGAGCATAAAAAATTAAGTGGTTTTCATACCTGAATTTCGTACTTCTCCTCAGCGCCCATGAGTCGATTGGCCAGGGTGGAGAAGGCTTCAAAACCATCGTCGCCCTCGGTTTCCATCAGAAGCGTAAAGAGGATCGATTCGAGCTCGGGGATTCTGAAAGTTAAACTTATTATTTTTTACGTAGCGCTTTGATTATACTTAAATTATGCTAATCAGCTCAACAATTTGGTCTCGGTTTTGCGACCCTTTTTGAAATAGTAGTTCAAAGCCATTTTTGGCGCTATAAAATCGATATTTTTAAACGAATTAAGCCAATTAAGCTAATACAACCTAATTTTAGCCCATTTTATCAAATCCTATTTTTATACTTATGGTTTGTTTTTAGAGCAATTTAAAATTAAAAATACCGTACTTCGATTCAACCGTTTCCAGGCACTTTTTCAACACCTTATCCCGGAAGATCTTCAAAATCAATCGCCGGATGCAGAATGACTCGTCGACGAGCTGGAAAACTTCAAATTATTAAACTTTTCAGTAGGAAAAATTTATTAAATCTACCGTATTTTTCATAGTCTAATATATTATATCTTTTTGTACAACAGTTTGCGCTCTACTTGCAGCAAAACCTAAGAAAACCTTAAACTTGTGTACATTTCCACCCAATTTTGTACTTGCACACCCTGCTGGTAAGCCCCCAATTGAAGCGGCATTTTTTGGGATGGTGATGCCGAAAGGGGGGGCTTAATCCGGGTGTGATAAGGCCACACCCGGCGTGTGTATCCAAAACTGTAGCTTGGGGTATCTATGTGGAAAGGTCGTCAGGTTGGTGCAATCCAAAACGACGGGGTAATTTGCATACGAATGAGCCAATAGTTAATGACACCTAAGCTAAGCCTAAGCCTGCCAAGCATAAGTGCTTCTGTGACTTAAGTACATTTTATATGAGTTTAATATAAGCTCATTTTTAGAAACGTACCGTTAATGTAAACAACACATCTTCCATCGTCGGAATGATCTCCTTATACAGACGATCCCAAATCTGGAGTAGCTTGTAGACATAGGAGAAGTCGTTGTGGACCTGGAAAATAGCGATGTAAAGTGTATTAAAATAAATCAGCTTTCGCAATGAAATATTTTAATGTTCAAATTAAAGTAAATTTTGACAAACCTGTCCAAATTGGCTGTGACAGCATTGCAGGATTTGGCACGCGTTATTTTCGACGGCTGGGATGACGGCCTGGAAAGCAGAATTTAGAGAATTTTTGTTTTTCTCTCTCACTCTCCCTCTTTCTCTCTCTCTCTCTCGCTCTCTCTCTCTCTCTCTCTAGCTTCTTGTTGGTGAGCTAAAAAGTTGGTACTAGACTACCAGTGGGGGGGGGGCTTTGATGAGGGCAGTAGATTTTCCCGGTAATCCCGTGCAAATTACAGTACTTTGCGTGATTACAAACTATGAAACAGGCTGGCTTATAAAGAACCGCTTCCCCCCGCTAAGAACTAAGTGCCCGAAACACTACCGTAACCCCTAAATTTCGGAAGCCACAGTAAACAATCCATTAACCTGATAAGGATTGACTTCTAATTTTTGCTCATTAATCTCCCAGGCTTCTACCTTTAAATTAACAAGTCTCTAGCCTGCTCCCATATCTCCAGGAGTCTAAAAACGGCACGGCCGAATGGCTATAAAATCCGGGTCATCAACATTTTATGGGCCCGAAGGAGCTGGCGAATTTTCGGAAATGTTGACAGCTGATGGAGAGGGAGAGGTATCAGGAGCATGGAAAACAAATAAAATAGATGAATAAACTGAGCAGTGAACGGTTTCCAGCTGATTTCGGGGGGGTGTAAAATGGTGTAAGTTTTGGAGGACACCGGAAGTGGCGGTGTGAGTAATTAGGATTTGTCAGCAGATATAAAAAAAGATTAAGTTCCATTGACTTCAAATTAGAGGGAGAGAGTGAAAGAGAGTGAAAGAGAGAGAGAGACCGCGTTCTACAGAGCGTTCGAGTGAGCGAGAGACTGAGCATGAGAGCGTGAGAGTGAGCGTGAGCAAGAAAGACAAGTCGAGAGGGGTAATAGAGAAAAAGAAATAGAGAGCGAGAGGGAGAGCGAGCTAGGGGTAGCAAGCGAGAGAGAGAGCGAGAGAGAAAGGCACAGATTGAGAGCGCGAGAGATATAAAGCGACGAGAAAGATCGAGAGAGAGAGAGCCTGAGTGTGTCTGAGAAACAGCTATCTAGCGTTTAATAACTCACAATATCCTTCAAAAAGTGAATCAGCCCTATCTTCTGCTCATCTTGGAGATCCTCGATCTCAGCACATAGCTTCACCCGATCCTCACAGCTACACTCACAACCACGCAACATTGAAAGCAGCATCAGCTCCATTCTAAGATTTGTTTCGTAATTTGCATTTTAATGTAACCACTTACGATGGATTATTCCCGAATGGTGTCGACGTTTGAGGGGAATCTCGCGTGGAGTATTTCCGGCCTGCGAGCGACAGCTTCGGTGAGGGGAGTGGGGCTTTCGATTGTTTCAAAATATAGGCTGGAAAGGAACTAATTGAAACGGCTCGGCATGTACAAATAGTAGATCCTTGGCTGTCAAACTTATCAAAAAAATTACTGCTACATAATATCGTTTCCCTAAGGCCACATTCGGTTTATTCTCGATCTGACCTCTCCTTCCGAAATGTTTTCTGCTAGCCTGCCAGTTTCTGACATGCAAAACACCCGAAAACGGCTTTATTCCCCTAATTCCACTGGAAAACAGCTTACAGGTGTGCATGGACGGATGGACGCCGGCCGACGAAAACAACATCTTCACGTGGGACGGAATTTTGGCGGATTAAGGCAGCAGGGAAAAAGCTGGAAAATTAAGGTCTGCAAAATTCGCAAACAATGTGTATTGAGGGTTGTTTAGCGAGTGACCCACAGAGAGGAGAGAGAGAGAGAGAGAGAGAGAGAGAGAGAGAGAGAGCGAGCGAGCGAGTGGGTGACCTGCGGAAGGGATTTTGGAATGACGCGTACTCATCACCCTCACGTGGGGAATTGTGATATGCAACAAGCAAGGCTGAATGGGTGACAATGCAATCGAAAACTTGACTTAAAATTGAGGCGAGATTTTTTGAGTAAAATGCGCTTTGCCAAAAGCTATCAACTGGAGCCGAATAAAAAGGCATACCTTTACTCTATCAATTACGGGTGCCACATATATGTAAATTTTGAGATATTTAGAAGAAGGACGAGAGCCTTTGAATGTTAGAAAGAAGATGATGGATGGGTTAATGACACAAACAGCTTCTTTGATGCGCACTTTGCTAAGGCGAAAGTGTTGCAGAATCGGTGTGGCATAGGTATGGCTTGAAAAGTATTATTACGGTTTAATTATGGATTCCAGAGAATAAAAAAAGGAGCTAAGACTGAAAACCCATTTACAAAACAAAAATGACGCTTTGCGAGTGCTTTTAAAATGACGCGACATGACCAGCTTGAAGCCTAGGCCTCATATAAACCGACAGCCATCAAATTCGGAATTCCACAAAGTGGCATGAAAATTGGACTGAAACAGCCGTATTGTGATTCAGAACCGCCAAAAGGACTAAGACCCTGGCTCGGTCTCCTCTACCCACCCTCCAATGTTTTAGGGCAGCTTATAACCCCCTGGCGACCTGGG